CCCCTCCCCATCAAAAGTTAAATGGTCGGCCCCTTATTGTAAGTACTTGAGTTAATAGTATGCTTTAAAATGAAAAAGGAAAGGGGGAAAGGAAATTAAAGGGGTAAAATTTATCGATATATAAAGTGTATTTTTCAAAAGAAAGAACTGGCACTAGAAAGGACTGGCACTACCTACAAAGCACGGCTTCAACCCCCCCCCCCCTGAGTTAGCCTTCCAGTTTACTTATATAGTTCAATGGTTTAAACCATTGAACTATAAGTAAACTGGAATGATAGGTTGTGACAGTTCCTTTTTGCAAATTTTTTTGAAAAATACACTTTTTATATCGATAAATTTTACCCCTTTAATTTCTTTTCTCCCTTTCTTTTTTATTTTAGAGCATACTAAGACAGTCAATCTTTTCACTCAAGCACTTAAAATAAACAAAAATCGTTCAACTGCGGCCAAACTATTACAGGGCCAAAACAAAATTGGTCAAAAAACCGCGCGAAAATGTTTGGTTTTTCTGCGTTACGAGGCTTTCCAGAAAGAGTTGAGAGATATTATAATACAATTTATGTGGAAATATATTAGATGCATTTGAAAATTTCTTTTGAAGTACCCACTACTTACTTTTAACAGTTAAAAAAAGGATTAATATATACTAGCTAAAATCCTGGCAAAAACAAATGAAACATCCAGTATGATTAACAATTTAATCTATTCTCCCCCTTTCCCCCTTACAATGTCGTTGATTACACATAGTGCTCTCTGCCATCGATGAACTATTGAACACAATTTTTAGACTCTACGCCCAACATCAAGTTCAGGGGGAGGGGATTTTGTCTATTTTATTTATTTTTTATAGGTGTTTCATTAACTTTTTGCCACGATTGTAGGCAAGGCGATGCAAATAAATCATCACAGCTAGAAAGAGCGTACTAAAATGAGTAAAATTGCAAAGTTTGGTTGAGAAATGTTGGAAAATACGTAACATATAGCCTTGCAAAGTTTGCAAATTTTGTATACTTTTGTACACTTTAGTATTGCGTGCGGAAATTGCTACCATTTTCGACCCAAATGTGGTAGCAATTTCCGCACGCAATACAAAAGTATACAAAATTTTCGAACTTTGCAAGGCTATATTTTCCGCATTTCACAACATTTCGCAACCAAACTTTGCAATTTTACTCATTTTAGTATGCTTTTACTAATTTTAGTTTTGCCAAGATAAAAAATTAGTCTATAATGGGAATTGTCTTTTAAGCCATCAAATGATGGATGGAGGCATGCGGATTTTTACTCCGCATTTTCCGTTGGCGATTTCTCTTGGCGTCTGTGTTCTTGGAAACCGTTCACGAAAAGTCAAGCATTTTTTCAAAGTAGTTTTATTAGGCCTACTTTGGAATGGCAACTCGCCTTTATGTCTCGCGGCAAGTTTGGGCGAATTAACGTTTCAGAGTAGGCCAGGCCTACTTTTTCTCATTCCCGTTCCATAGTAGACCTTTTATTTGCATATATTACCTGTACTTTACCGACTGAACTTTTCCGGATTTGTATTCGATCTGCATGTCATGAATAATGTATATATGTATTACTGTTACTGTTAGTTTATAACTTGTTATTTGTGTATTATCCATATGGTATTATCTCAGTACCTCAAATATAAACTTCTACAAATTTGCTATTTCTTGTGTGTTGATTTTACTTTTAGCGTGATTACGCAGCGTATACTTCTCGGTAGCTGTAGGGTTAATGATGTAGGTTCATTGGGAAGGGTTAATAGAGGGGGGAGGGCCGAAACTCAGTGAACTAAGGTGAATGTGTAGTTCAATTAATAGTTAATCAAAATAAATAACTTGTGCTTCCCTCAGGGAAAACTTGTGCTAGAGTGAGACAGAAAGGACACCGCGGTCAAACGTAAAGCGCATGCGTGAGTCTACGAAAATGGCGGGGAAAATGTTTACTATAAGGAAATGACTGAAGCCATAAGATAGATAATTTCACCGCCTTTTCCTTGTGTCAAGCTAGACTAAGTTATCATGAGTTTACTACCTTTGAGCTATAAGTAACCTGGAATGTAACTCCTATGATAAAGGCCGCTATGATTCGTTATGAGCCGACGCGCGGGGAAATCTGCTTTCAAAAGGACTAAGTCTAAGCAGAGTTTCCTGGACTGAAAAAATTCGGTCAAAAGCTCAAAAGTTTGTTTTTGAGCAAGAAAACACTTTTTCCATGCATGGAATACTACAATGATTGGGTTTTCATATTAGTTCCGACTGTTTTTATACATCAGTCTTCAGCATAAAGTGAGGAGTTTTGCTCTTGTATTTTGATAAAAATCACGAAATTCAATGTTTGACAGTCCCAAAACTTATTTTGTACTAACCCACGGTATTGTTATCTATCCAGTGAGCTTTTAGTCTTGTTTTATTCCTTCTATAAAACATGAATGAATTGATGTTTTTCATCATTATATTTTCGTCATCGCATCTTCTTGTTGGCCATTATGGGAACTTTGAATATGGCAGCCAAGCTACAATCTTGGCAAAAAGTTAATGAAACACCTATAAAAAATAAACAAAATAGACAAAACCCCTCCCCCCTGAACAATGTTGGGCGTAGATCGAGTTTAAAAATTGTGTTCAATAGTTCATCGATGGCAGAGAGCACTATATGTGTAGGTTTTTACTCATCTTAATCAACATTGTAAGGGGGAAAGAATAGATTAAATTGTTAATCATATACTGGATGTCATTAGTTTTTGCCAGAATTGTAGTTTTAAAATTAGTCTGCAATGGGAATTGTCTATTGGCTTTGATGTAATTAGTGTCATAATAATTTACATGTTTATCGCTCGCCCCGGTGTACGTGCGGGAAGCGAGGCGCAGCATCTTCAAGCATCTTCCTTCCAGAGCGTGTTGGTTGCGTGCCTATTTAAAGTCGAGAAGCTTTGGGAACGAAGGTTACCTGTAGAATCACTTGATCATGAGCAATGACCCTTAGTCGACCTCTAGGGAGAACAAATTAGGTAAAATTGATAGAGTTTTTATATTTTTATAAAATATTTTATATTTTACATAATTATCCAGTTTAATTTAGCTATTTTGTATTATACACATCAAAACGCACAACTTGTAACAAACCTGCAGCAGACGTGTACCAATGTTGTTCCCGGCTTGTCCACAAGTTGTCAATGGCTTCTTGACAACTTGCTACAAGGTTGTTGACTCAACAGACTGTTCCATCAAACTAACATGCAGCATTGAGCAGTTCAAATAGGATGAGAGTTCAGCGGCACTGAAGAGTATTCATGAGATGCATGAGAGTTTTTTCAACTCTCTTGTCCCCGGTCAACTAATTTACTGGGTATTACCGCGCATATAGAATCAAACGGGCCAAAATTATCGTCAACTCTCATCAAAATTTGAATCAGCTCAAAGTTGATGAGAGTTGGTAAGAGTAAATGAGAATTGACGGTCAACTCTTATCAACTATCATTCTCGTGTGACCAAGGCTTTACTGTCTAGATTGTTTTTCGTAAAGCTGCATTTGTTCTCGATAGCTCTATCGGTTATCTATTCTCTTCTCCCTATAGAGCTACTAGTCTAGCATTTCTAGTTCCCAAACACAATGCAACAAAGTTTTGCCTTACAGAAAACCAAACAACGAGCCACTTTACATGAAGAGCAGCTCTATAATCACATAACAGTAAATCTGTCCTTACTAATTTCTAGTCAACCCTCAACCATCTTCAGTTGATTCTGCCACGCCGTTCTATGCGGATACACTCAAACGCAGCAACTGTGATGTCACTTTGCAATACTAGGAATTTTATAATTTCAACAGTTTGCCATCCATTAAAGATAATACCGTAGAAATTGTTTAATCCTTCGAAACCCTTACAATAGCTAGACAGTAGAAAACGAACATTGTTCGAAACTTCCTACGAGTTATCCGGATATAAGTAACAACAAATCCGGCCAACAGGATCTTCAATCAGAACACTGTTAAAGTTAGCTACTCATCACTGGAAAATGTCGAAACTAATATATCACGACACAATACTATAGCCATGCACCTACAGTATATACTAATATACGATTCCCTATATATACAGCGTGAGTAAAAAAACTGATACCTTTGACTTTTTGATATTCAAATTATAACAAAGGTGCCAGTTTTTTTTTTACTCACCCTGTATACCGTCCAATATGATAAATTTTGCTGACATTGTAAAAATGTTTAATATGATTGGTACTCAACCTGAGTATTGTCTATTGAAATTATTCTCATTTGGGATTCAAAGTGAAGTCCCTTGAGTAAATATGGCGCAACACATGCATGTGTGAGCATCAAGTTTCGCAATTTTACCTGGAAATTCAGTGAATAAAACATTATACAACACTGGAAGCTTGTAGACTGCATGGACTCACAATGGCATACGTTTCCCAAATTGCAAATATTTAAATCCCAAAGGTCAAAATGCGAATTAATTCAACCGATCACTTTAGATCACTGATCGTATTTGGTCATTTTTTATTGCAATGATTCGATAAAGGTGTCATTTGGTATTTTGGCAGCTAAGTTAGGACTGATCTTTATATCAAATACGAAAACAGAAGAGCTTTAGCTTTTTTTAACACAAGGCTGTATTTGGTCAAAGTATACATCGAGGCTAAAGCTATATCATAAAGTTTACTAGAAAAGTATTGTGCAGTTTACATGCAGTATATCGTGCAGTTTACATTTCGTGCACTTTACAGTACATACATGCAGCTATTTCAATTAAGGTTGTCCACGAGCAAAGCGTAAAAGTCGAATACGAGCGCGAAAAGCTGCTGGGAATCGCTAACAAATTAATGAATTTTCAAAGCGGTTCCCAGCAGCCTTTCGCGCTCGTATTCGACTTTTACGCTTTGCTCGTGGACAACCTTAATTGAAATAGCTGTATGTCGTATATTGGTATATACTATATAGTTTCGTGCTACATTTTTTGGTTTTCTGTCATTATGCATCCATTGATCATTATGTTTCAAGATCATTTCAAGAGGTAACGTTTTCACTTCATTTTTCATCCTTCCAGTTTTCTTCTTGTACGTCGTCGGCTTTTTTAGCTGGGATAAAAGCTTCGTCGTTTGTCAGACGCGGTGCTTCTGTATATGAACGAAAATGTACATTGTAAATTTTGAAAAATGCATAGGTAGCATAATTATTTATTGTTTTGAATGATGATGAACCATCATTCATAAGCTGGTTGTCTAGAGTAATCAATAAAACTTCGCTGATTATCCTTGTTCTCGTATACACGCGTCAAAAATATTTAAACTTCTGGTTATGTCACTTATTATATTTGAAATAGGGGAATTGTCGAACACACCTTCATCTCCATAGTGACGGCAAACGCGTCTCCAACCTAGACAATATCAAGAAAAAAATAAGACTACCAGCGACGGGAGGTGCCATTAGCTAGAAAACTATAGTCATTACTACTGTAATGACTATACTCTATAGTTTTGACATAACTAAGTATTAACAAGCTCGCTTCGATCGTAACTGGCAAATATCTGATAAGTGACTTGGCGGTTTGTAGTACCACTGAAGAAGAAGTTCGGTCGAAGCCATGACCGTGGGTCGAGAGTTTGCGTTTAGTCATGCATGGCCACGTTCACAAATTAGGTATCGACGACTTGGTAACGTATTTACACTTAACCTAGCTGTTCTCGAGTGCCGAGAACAACACCTCTCCCCTATAGTACCACAATCACACTTCCTAAGGAAGTGGAGATGAGCAAGGGCACCAAGACCCGCTCCGAAAGAGACACTGTATAACCGGAACGAATTATGACACACACACACGAGTTTGGGCCGATTGTTGACGCTGATTGCCGCGAGCACAGGACGGGAAGGACGATGCGACAGACGAAGGATTGTGAGATACCAGGGTCGTTAACCCAGCGAGGCTGGCGCGAGGTGCCAGATCAGGAACAGGGAAAGGTACTTAACTGAGATTGGGCAATCGACGGGTAGCGAGCCAAGCGACGGGGCTGGCTGCGGGCTTCCTCCGGGAAGGCTACGGACGGGCGTGCAAGTGGGTGAGGGGGGGGGGATGGGAACGACAATAAGAATCCCCGTGGGTGAGGGAGGATGGGAACGACTAAATGTCACGACTGAGAATGAGCTACTGGCGTAAACAACTTATATATAAGGTAGGTTATGCAAATGCCCTCATTAGCATTTGCCAAGCTGTCCCTGGGGCCCCTTATTCTGATAACAAGTACGACAACTCAGCTCGTTCTTAATATCATTTATTGCGTAAATCCAATAAAAAAAACATAGTATAACATGATAAGCCTATAGCTCTTAGACTACTGACATTCATGGATATTCATATCCGTCCTTAAATTGGACTGGGCAGAATTCGTATAAGGTTGATTGTGTTTGGAATAGTTGTGATTGGTTTTGTGACCGCGAAACGAAATGATGCAAATTGGAGTACGGTGCCAAATTCATCCGTAAGCGTATAAGCTATAAGGCGTATGAAAACACATTATGTTCTTTCTGCTTTGTCTTTGCATGGAAAGTACAGACGGCATGTTTTCTTTTCTGCTTATGAAATTATGCTTATGATCTTTCTTCAAAGTTAGACGGGATTCTCGTATTAGAGCTAAAATTTATAGTATCAGACGAATCAATAAAAACGGGTTTGAACTGATAACGTCGAAAATGGACTGCATGGGGAGAGGGTTTCCGAATTTTTCAGGTTTATGGAATTTACATGATGTATGGATTAGATCAAATATATTTCTATGACTGTCGGACTCCTTGTAAAATAAAAGCAGTGGTGCTACTGGTGTGCTAGGACTTACCACGACGAGAACGTATCCGCCTACAGAATCTGTGCCATCTGAATCTTCTAGTGAATCTAAATCTTCTGATTAGTCTTCTGTATGTGCGGATAAACGGTGCACGTTTGAACACGGCTGGTTTATCCTCGTCGTTTGATGGAATCACGTTTACACTGTTCAAGGCATTCTCTCTGAATTGAAAAAAAAATGAAAATATATATGTTGACGACGTTAACGAATGCGGTGGTTTGTTCTAAACTCTTTCTAATAATCTAATTTCAAGAAACGTTTACGGAATTACGGTATCAGATCACTTAGTCGCACCCACATGTAGGACAGCCACTGCGCAACGATCTTTTTTCTATCGCGGTGTGACTATCTGGAACTTAATATTCAGTTCGAAGACACGTATAGCCAAACGTTGACATCTTTTAAATTAAACGCGAAACGTGAATTATGTAGTTTTTAAACTTTATATATTAACTGTCTATTCATAATTATAGCCTAGTGTAACATAGTGTATTGGAACATTCAAAGATTGTAAATATTTAATTTATTATTTTAGTCTATTCTCTGAAAAGCCATTTTTGTATATATATATATATATATATATATATATATATATATATATATATATATATATATATATATATATATATATATATATATATATATATATATAAGATTATCAGAAATGGCTTCGCTCCTTCGTACAATATATATCTATGTATATCTCTTCGTACAATATATATCTCCTTATGCAATATATATCTATGGCCTTTGTGTCATATTGAGCACTCTACAGGATGAGCCATTGCTGCTTACGCATTGTGCGCATGCTCACTGCTTGCAGTTTGAGCACTCTGGCAATGGTTTGATGTCCCACATTCGTGAGACATCAAAGGTAACTATTTATAGTGGTTACTTTCATCCTGTTCATCAGCACTACACTGATGCGGCCCAAAAGGCCGAAACGGTACCGTCTGTAGTTATATATATATAATATAATAATATATATATAATATAATATAATATATATATAATATAATAATATATATATATAATAACGGTACCGTCTGTAGTTATATTATATATATATATATGACAAGCGTTATGGCAGACTAATGAAAAGAATTTGGGACATTAATATAGTTTTTTCTGCCAGTTTTGTTCAAAATTATAAAAGCGCGGGAAAACTTACCTTCGCGAAATTCATTTGTTTGCAACAGCCTCGAGGTTAGTAATATCATTTTTTCGTTAAAATTAGGTCAAATTTCCATTAAACATACATGGATTGAGTCTATTTATGCACACATATTTGTAAAAACAAGTTTAATATTAAGCTCACTTCCCTTGCGGTCGTTTGAGCACTCTGGCCCCATTACGCTCTGCGCATGTCTGGGTGCGTTGAGTCACTGTCTTGTACTACCTGCCTTGGTGAGAGCAAGTTCATGGGATATAAATACGAGTGTCTCACGTATTTAGACGTGTACCAAGCGGCACTGACGAGGCGTAGAACGCCGAAACATGCATGTCTGCAGATTGTACTATTACGCTCCTTCACCTCGGTGTTGTTGAGCAGTCTGCGGAGTTGTAATGGTTGTCTATTATAGCGATAATGCAAAGCTCACTTCCCTTGTGGTCGTTTGAGCACTCTGGCCCCATTACGCTCTGCGCATGTTTGGGTGCATGCGTTGCGTCACCGTGTTGTACCACATGCCTTGGTGAGAGCACGTTCATGGGATATAAATGCGAGTGTCTCACGTATCTATAGTCCAAGCTGCACTGACGAGGCGTAGAAAGCCGAAACATGCATGCCTGCAGATTGTACTATATATAAATATATATATATATATATATATATATATATATATATATATATATATATATATATATATATATATATATATATATATATATATTATTTATTGAAAGTAATTCAAGAGTTTTGATTGGTTAAGAGCTGTGGATGAAATCGTCATATCCGTTCGGGAGTTGCCCAAATTTGGAGTTATGACATCACCATTGAATATTGAAAACACATCTACGACATTATGACGTAATTTGGTCGTATATTGAAAACAAATATACGACATTATGACGTCACACTAATTTATTCTGCTTATATGCCAAAAGCGGGAAAATACAAATGGCTTCCTCAAAGGAAAGGTTCGCCGACCTTGGGGAAGCTGAAATAACAAAATTGCTGGAAGAAAAAGACTCAGTAAACAGAAAAAAAGCTACAAAAGCAAGCAAAGCGATTTTTGAAGAGTATCTACGAGAAAAAAAGCTTGGCCATTCAGAGAATAGCGAAGAACTTGCTTCGGTTCTCAAAAGCTTTTATGCTGATCGAAGTGAGGAAAAAAAGATGAGTCAGAATACACAAAAAATTCGCTGTATAATTTTTACAACTGTCAAATTCACTTTCACGAGTAAAATGTTTATAAATGTTAAAGGTAATATTTAAATTCGTGTTAGAACAGTTGAAGAACACTTATTTTCTCGATCATTTGTGTTTTTATACAAATATTCCGTATATTTTCTCGATAATTTGTATTTTTATATAAATATTCTGTATATTTTCTCGATAATTTGTATTTTTATATAAATATTCTGTATACTTGATTAACTTGAAGTGCAAATGGGGTCGGTAAAATCTGTAGCATTCTTTCAAACGCTTATGTTCAGTTGAAATAAATTTGTTTGAATTAATTTGTTTGATTTTGTAATATGACAACAGTTTTAAAAATATTCTTTCCTAGTCTGATTGGCTTATTCAGTCTTGCGAACACTATATCAAGGGTGGGTTGACTACAAACTTTTTGTAGTTCGCTATAACTACAGCTACTTCAAAAATATGTAGTCAGCTACAACTACTGCTACTGTTTAACAAAAGTAGTTCGCTATTGACTACAGCTACTGCTTAAAAAATGTAGCGAACTATTTCGCTATTTCGCTACTCAATATTTTTTAATTTTACTGTATTTGGAACATCTACTATAGCTCAGGCTGTAATGTAACCTATAACAAATCGACTTACGCGAGTAAATAAGACGGCATGCATTTGCACAGTTTGAACAGTTGCACGGCATACATTATTCGTGCAAATTGAGTGTTGATTTTAAGCAAACTGTGTCTTAATAACATTCTATTCTATCAAGTTGCTAACAATTTTAAAAAATAGCGAAAAGCGATTTGAAAAGTAGTCAACTACTTGGCTACTTTTAGGCAAAATGTAGTTCGCTATAACTACAGCTACTGTTTTGAAAAAGTAGTCAAAAACTACTGGCTACTTGAAAATTGTAGTTCGCTACAGTAGCGAACTACAACTACTTCGCTACTACCCACCCTTGCACTATATTATTGTTCCATTTTCAGTAGCTTGCGTGTTCTTGTTTACAATGCAAGCGTTTACCGAAGTCCGATATATATACAAATAAATAATAAAACAATTATTGAATTCGGTTCTCGTAGGATATGAGGAATTATTACGGCCTCGGTTTGTGTTATACAAACCTCTGCCTTAATAATTCCTCATATCCTACTCGACCTCATTCAATAATTGTTTAATATATATATATATATATATATATATATATATATATATATATATATATATATATATATATATATATATATATATATATATATATATATATATATATATATATATATATATATATATATATAGGGTGCGAAGTAGACAATTTCAAAATAACATTTTTTTATATTAATTAAGTTTATACTTACGTTTGATCATCAAAAACATTTTCTGGGTTCATGAATGAATCTTCCCTGCAACAAATAATAGTGTCAAAAAAATCCATACACGAAATAGTGTAAAATGACGTATAGCTATTAACTAAAAGTGTGAATTGCATTGCCATGATCATCAGATATATATCGGTTCTTAGTACTATATAGGTATACCGTCCTTAGACAGCTATAGAGGAGTCGCAGCTGGAATATATATAGTATACTTGGAGAAAATTGATATATAGACTCAACAGAAGTACTCTTCTAGATCGCATGCAGTTTTATACTGAGAGTAAATTATGATCAGAAAAGAGGTAGAACGTAAACTAACAATTGTGTCACTGAAGACAGTGACATGCACCGTCCGTAGTTACCACTATTTTCAGAGGATGCAACTGATTTCATCGGTGGAAATCAGTATACTTTGACTTTTATTAAACTGAATATTTACAATAAACTAAAATAGAAAAATACAGTAATCATTAAAAATAAACTTCCAGAGCACAGACTTACAATTGCCTATCATGCATGTCATTGTCACTATAGACATCTTCAAAAGGTTGGTCCACAAAATCGTCGAGCGCTGCTGTTTCTTCAGTGCGTCCAACGCCAAGAAACATAGCACAGACTGCAACCAGCAACGTTACTGCAATTGTCCAAAATTTCATCTTGATGTCGTTGATGGCTGACTTGCATGATACCCTCTGGTTAGCTTGGCTGTTTTCTCGCGCTTTTATGGGTACAGTAAGTGCAAAAGAGCTGAAAGAGTTTCTTTAACTAGTCTGAACTACAAATATTAAGTACTAAGGCGTGGGATAAGTGTTCTTTTTGCTGTTTCGTTCGCAGCATATGCATGGGTTTCCTTCCTCTAATTAAACAGTCGGATGTTTAACCAAAACAAAGCAATTAAATGTATATTTAGACATACCAGTAACTTATAAACTGCACCCACATATAGTTATATACTTACATGCAACTATTACAAAAATTGATTGCGTCATGCACGAATACTTTTCTTTCATAAAAAAATTTGGTGTGAAAAATATACCTTACACGAAAGGTTAATCTATATATATATAATATATAAAAAATGTAATACAACCATATACAAGTCATGTATATAAAGAGCCAAAAGATTATTCATGTCAAGTTGCGCTGATGGTCGATCAGCAGGGGCGCCGGAGCCACGGGGGCAGCTGCCCCCGTTGCCTAAACAGTGCGGGGGCAGCACGGGGGCAACAGGTTGCCTTTTTACCAAAACTGCACTTCGAACGTCATGCGTTTTTCACATGAATTGAAATTGAAAACTGTTTTTAAACAATTTAGCTCATACTTGAATCTGAATTCCTCTCAGAAACGTTACGAATCAGTTTCCACCTAACATGAAAAAAAGTAAAAAAGAAAACCTTCCTCAAATAACTGATAACTGTCATGTTGCTTTACAATATATTTTAGTCTTTAGTGTCATGCAACGAATAAAAATTTTCCAATCTATGCCGAAATTTGTCTAACTGTACGAGTAATGAAGTATCCATTATACAGCAAAATGTTAACGAGCATTGCCCCCCCCCCGCACAAAAATTAAGGCTCAAGAGTAAGTGCCCTTTTTACATGGCTGCCCCCGCCGCTTCATGTTGCTTCCGGCGCCCCTGGGTCGATGGCATTACTTATCTGACTATAGACTATAGGCCTATTATATAACTGTGCTTATAGAATATAGGTATACCCATGTTGTTGGTATAAGTACACTGCATGTTTACTTACTAGGTAACAGCTGTATACAAACTCTGTAACCACCGTGGCCATGCAAGCTAACTTTTTAGTGGCCCACCGTGGCCAAGCTAACTTTTAACAACTATAACACTCAGAGTAACATCACAAACATCATATTCACCTGAGTACATAACACCAACACGCACAAAAACTCTGTAAGTTCTTTAGAGTGCACTGTAATGGCTCACAATTGTGGTGAATAATAAAATGACTATACCGTATTAATTACGTACTGTTTAATAAACGAGCATGCAGGAGTGTTTTATTAGGTTGAAAGCAGTTAGACCTAATATATACAATACGACCTGCGAGTTTATTAAACGGCTTCAAACACGACTACAAATTCCATATAGATATACTGTCTTACCAGTATTCTTTATATAAAGAATATAGTAATGAGGACACGACTACAATAGATACTGCCGTATTACTTTATATAAAGAATACTATAATTAGGAGTGTTTTATCAGGTTTAAAGCCACTGCATGCACGTGACATATTATGGTTCCGTTGACATGATTTGCCACCCTATATAGTTATATATAGGGGCTCGAGTTAACAGGGTTCTACTGTATAGTTTGTCAGCCGCACTTTTTTAATGAAATCAGTTGTTTCAAGTCAGTTTTAATTTAATTATTTAATTAATGAAGAAAAACTTCTTTTGTGTATATCTGTACATGCATAACTGAGTTAAATTAAATTAAAATAAAATCCAATACGTGCATGTAGTGCATACAGGAGTCGAGGTCGCAGAAGTGTGTTGAAAAGAGGTTGCTAACCACGTTTCTAACTATAGACTCGGGTGAGATGCCTCAGGCATACGCATATAGCATACCTTAATTGAAGTGTTTCAATGTCACTGCATGCAATAAGGACTTTGCAGTTTGTGTGCATAAAATTAACTTTGCCTCAGGCTTGTTTTTAACATACCTTGAGGTGTTTCAAGGTCACTGCAATAAGGGACTTTGTTTGAGTGCATAAAATTACTTTGTACTGTTTCGCGCTATCGTTTGGAAGTGCTATCTTGTTCGGACTTTAATTAACCAAATGGAAGTATAGACCACACTTGTTTTTGTATTTGTATTGAATTGTGTTAATACACGATACTAAGACAAAGAAGCCAACTACAACAGAAGTCAGAATGCATTCTCAATTACTTGATATAAAACGAAAAGTTCACCAAAATTATAAATGATAAAGGAGTTTGCTCACAATTTTCGTGTGAGTCTGTCCTGTTGTTGCGTTTTTCAAATTTATGAACAAAAAATGATAAATACTATCACTTGACTATAAGGTATTTAAACTTGAACTGTCTGTGCCAGTGTAGGCGGTATAGGGATGCAACTACCTGATCAGAAAAACATAAGGGGAATTTCGACGTTTCAAGAGAAGGCCCTTCGTTTGGAGTTACTTAAACCCTCCTTATATTTTTCAGGTATGTGCATCCCTACCAACGAAAGCTTGTTCATAAGGGGCGGACCATTAGAAAAAGTGATGGGGGGGGACTTTTTCAACTTGTACGAATATTTTATTTAATTTTTTGCTTGTGTCGATAATTTTTTTAAATATAATCCCTTGCACGAATTTTTTATTTCAACTTATAATTATCCCTATTGAAAAGTCGTCGCACGAATTTTTTTTCAAACTTTCTTGGTGCACGAATTTTGTTTTTCTTTAGTGTTGCCCCTGCACGATTTTTATTTTTGCTCCCCCCCCCCCATCACTTTTCTAATTGTCCGCTCCTAAGGTATTTAAAACATATAAATATGTTCCAAAGCAAAAAACAAAGACCCCCTCCCACATCCGCGTGCAAGCTGTGCTGCTTTTTAGGGTTGTATGTCGAAACAATAACTATGTACTACACGTCTAAAAAGAGTTAATGTGGAATTTGTGATCATGTTGATTTACCTTTGGTTTACGTCTAAATGTGAATTTTAATTCACATATTAAAATATGTTTGAAAAGGGCGTTTGATAAGAATAAAGTCCCCATCAAACGAGCGGATGAGAGTTCAATGATGCATGAAGTTCCAACCAACTCTCGCTCGCGTTTGGCCACCAACTCTCATCCACTCTTATAACAACTCTCATCAACTGTGAGCTGGTTCAAATTTTGACGAGAGTCATCGATACGCGAGCTAATATATCCAGTCAACTCTCATCAACTCTCATGCAACTCTTGTTCTCGTTTGAGCAGGGTACGAGAGGGCAACTCTCATACAAACTCTCGCTTGCCAACTACTCTAAACAATTCTCATTCTTATTTGACTAGGGCTAGCTAATTAAAAGCGTGGTAGTAATTAACTTTAAACTAAAATAGGCGAAGCCCATCCAGGTATTTAATGAAAACATTAACCATGCAAATACTAAAAAAACGAACAAATATCGCCCCCAAATAGAGTCATATGTATATAGGTTAAATGTTCGAAATTAATATACTGTTTTTCAAAAGGAAGTAAAAATAACGGAATATAAAGAGTGACGTCATACAATGTACGCCTACAATTTGGCACGTCCAACCCTGGGGACGAGGTTGTGCAGGCATGTCATGCCGGATGACCTAGCTTGACCTTTCAAATTGAAAGCACTACCTTTGGTTGCATTCAAGCAATATTATGATTGCGAAACCAATTAGCTTTAATAGCCTGTCATTACTCAAAAACCGGCAACTTGTATGTATTTTATTTCTTAGTTTGTTCGAACATGCATTGTATAGCCGTTGGGAGCATTTACGCAAAAAATATTTAAGATGACAAGCTGCATGTGCCGAAAGGAACCGAAAAGAACTTTAATTTCTTGAGATCTTGCTATAGCCACCTTAATTCGAGGCATCTCTATATAAAGGGTTAGGGTGCCAAAAAAGCTTTCTCCGATCACCCTAACTCTAGACTGAAAGGTGCTGCAGCTGAGGAGACTTGACCTTTGCATTGCATTAATTAATTAAACTGATTGAAGTACACATAATTAAATAATTTTGTCTTTAGCATAATTACTGCTATTTGTGCAAATGCTGCTTTTATGCAGCCATTTCTCACGAAAACAGGGAAGCCACTTTTAAGAGGCGAAAAAAGGTGTTTATCAACTCATTGACATTGTTTGAGCTCATTTACATTACTCTTAGATTTGGCACACGAAATGTTCGACGTTTAAACTAGGCCTAAAACATTGTTCCATTTTCTCAATTTTGTGTTAAAAGCAACACTCACATTGTTGCACTGATGAGTTCATGGTCGAAAGTTTAAGTTTAAAATAAATTGTGATGTTTCCGACAAAACAAAACAATTAAATATATTTTTACACATATACAAAGTTATACAAAGACCTTACAAACACCCACAACCTCATAATTATTCACAAATATTAAAAAAAGTAATTGCAACACGAGTATACTTTTCTTTCACGACGTTGCCTCTATTTGGCTTATCTTAAATGAAGTGGGTAAAAACGAACAGCGTGTTCCCGGTTGATATCGACAGGCTTGAGTTGTCAAGTTGTCAAAAATGTCATCTGTAACTTTTACCTTTGTCATAGTGTGATAATGTGAAGTGTTGTATGTTGTGTATGTTGCCTCTATCAAATATTTCCACGTTCGAATTCTCCCAGGAACGTCGGTTTTCTCCTGTAGTATAAAACTGGACAAATACAGAATGGCCCCCACTATGTTTATAGAGAAAACATCTTAGATAGAACTGATAGAGCCAGAGATAGCTAGTACAATAAGGTGTATAATTTATACGGTACTGTACATGCATGCACTAAGGTTTTAAAGCTCCTTACTGCGTGGACCTCTTATAGGGAGTCAACCTGATACTCAGGGTTTTTAAGTGAAAACTGAAAACCCTGAGTATCAGGTTGATCGAGAGGTTGATAGGGAGTTACGGAATTACGGATAGTTAATATCCAGCATTAATATATTAACTTGTTT